CGCTTATTACACCAATTTGAGGAAAGTGGGAGTGTCAATTATAAAAAACCCATTACAAAGAATGTTTTCGCGGTAATTGGTTCAGTTATCGAAAATCCCAATGTTTCAAGTCAAAATCTAATATCCAAAAGTACTAACATTAGTCAATCAAGTATTTCCAGAATTATCAAAAAGTACAACTTTAATCCTTATAAAATTCAGCTTTGCCAAGATCTTTATGGAAATGATTTTGAATACCGAACTGAGTTTTGCATGTGGGTGTTAGATAAAACGGCAGAAAATGAAAAGTTTTTCGAAAATGTGTTATTTAGGGATGAATGTACTTTTCATAACAATGGTCTCGTGAATAGACACTTTCATTATTATTCTAATTCAATATTATTAGAAGAAGTCCTTTTCAATATTATAATCAACATGTGGCTTCAATTGGATGGAGCTCCGCCTCATTATCACTGCGAAGTTCGGCAATTTTTAAATGCCAACTTTCAAAACAGGTGGATTGGCACAAATGGGTTTGAAAACTGGCCCCCCAGATCTCCGGACTTAACTCCACTAGATTTCTTTTTGTGGGGTACATGAAAGGAATTGTGTACCATACGCTTCCGACAAATTCACACGATTTGAAAACACGTTCACATTAAACACTAATGCCTAAGCTTATAATAATGCTATATTCTGATTGCACATTTTGTACATGTCCGAGTTAAAGTTTCTGTTAATTTTTAATCATTTCATATAAAAACCGCATCATTTTGATTTGAACACATTTTTGTTTTAAAGTCTCTATACGTACCAGTTTTCTGCGTGTTACCTATAAACCAACATTATTACGTTAATGAGGCAGATTTCGTTGAAAAACATTGTTGCCGGATTTTCGATCTAGTTTTTTGCAAATTTTCCAATTTTTAATAAGAATTAATTTTTTTTACTATTTTCCCCGTACTCCCCAAAATACCCCAGGGGAATAAGGCCAATTTTAAATCACCCTATATTTTTGATGGGTGTGGTCATTGCAGATTCAAGTTACAACCCTATCCAGAAACTCTGAACATCCAAGCTGGGAGCTGATTACGCCTGCATGCCATTACATAGTCTAACAATTCTCCTAACCTCATAAATTTTGGTGAGCTGAATTTGATTAGTAAAAGTGTGTTAGAGTTTATTTGGAAATTACAAGCTTATTTCTAAACAGAATGGAAATGGAAGTTGATTTAGAGCAAACTGACGAAGAGTACGTGATACAAAAGGCAAAAGAGGCTCTAAAAATCGATCCATTTGCTGCCAAAGCCTGGATGCTAACAGCCAAATCTTTGTATCCAAACAATTTTTGGGTGCAGGTAAACAATTTAATAACATTGAATTATTTGGGTATATTTCAAATGTTTGCTAACTGTATACTTTAGTTAAACTCAGCTCGACTGAACTCAGCCTAGACAAGTTCAATTCAATACTGGACTTACTCCTTGGAAACTTAATGAAGGGGGCAGTTGAGTATATGCTTTCAGCAATGACAAAATACTTTCTTTGGTCAGAATTATGTTTATACATTTTTAAAAAGTGTAGATAATCAGTACATTATCATACGATAACTAAGGAGAACGCAAGTCTTATAAGATAACAAACAGAATGAGGAACCTACTAATAAGCAGTCATTTATTCTTGGCAACACTCAACGAGAGCTGTACTGCCAATAAAAAATATGTTTCTTGTGATGTTGAAAAAGGTATAAAAACACGTGGCTTGATGTTTTCCTCCATTATTTGACACGGAAAATAACAAATCATCACTTACGCTTGAAGTATTAGGCTAGAAACTAAAAGAAAATTTATTAAAACCGGTTAATTTGTATTAAAGTTCAAATACTTTAAAATGTAACAAACAATCCGGTGCAACATATTTTAAGAAACTGAGTAGTTCAGCCACTATACTGGGGAAAAATGGAGAAATTTCATGAAAATGACACAGTTTTTAATATAAGCCAAGGATGGATTATCCACTGTTTCATTGGTTACCGAGCGCAAAAGAAAAAATTATCAGAAACGTTCTTCTGAAAAGTAAAATTGTAGATGAATCTGACTGCTCATCATCAATGAATCAAACATAAAAATTACTGGTTTAAAAAAATGCAAACAAACTTTTTCATTTCTTCTGCTTTTCATCGGGACAAAACAAACAGCCGAGAAAATTTTGAGTTTTTAAAAAGTTTGTGAGTGTGTTTGTTTGCAAGAAAACTCATATTAACAAACAGCGTAAAGCGACGGTATCAAGAATGTATGGAAGCAATCGAGTAATATTATGAAAATTAATCAAGTGATTTGAATCTAAATCATTGCCCTATTTATATGCAGAATAGTTTCTTCACAAATACTTGACATATTTCAGTACGTATAGGAAAGTTGTCAAATAAAACGATGCAAGTTTTACCTTGTTTCTTTTTGTTACAGTTTGAAACGTACCTAATCGAAAAAACCGCCGGTAATGTCAAAGAAGCTGCAAAATGTTTTAGTGATTTGTAAGTATTTATTTACTTTCAAGTTCAGTTTAACTAGTGTTCAATCGTTAATGCTGTAGCAATTAAAATAACTTACATTTCATATGGAATTGTCAAATTTCTTGTTGTTGCACTTAATATCATATTTAACCAAAAACGAGACTCAGTTAGAAATTTTGATTTGAGGATTGGTAAATTTCAACAAACCCCCGATCTTTGGAAAGAAATCGAAAAAGTCACTGCCGCTCTACGCTGTGAAACTGTATCCGAAGATCCAGAAACGCTATTCTTATGTGGAATGTTTAAGCACATTTCCTCAGATGTGCAACACAAGCTGTTGCTTTTTACAGCCGATCACTGTGGAGATACTATGGAACATTGTCGGTTACTTCTGCTGCTTTTGCAAAGATTTCCTACGGCAATTTCCAGTTATGGTGTAAGTTATGCTACCTGCAATAACGAAAATAGTAGTTTGTATAAATCATAACGATTTTTAAACCGAAACTAATATGTAGGGTTTGTATTATTTCAGCCAAGGCTGGTAGACACTTTGCTGTACGCGGAAAAACATGGCGTAGATACACAATATCCCATCAACTCATACAGAAAACTACTAGTGTGCGAGCTTTTGCCACTCTTAGCCAATCAAGAAATAAAATTAGACCTGGCTTCTAAACTATTACTGAAACTGTTGTCTAAGTCGCTGGAGTATTATCTGTGCATATTAGGAAAAGCAAGTGCAACTTCCCAGGTATTACTGAAAGTAATTTTCAATTTTACCTGCATTTGAATCATAAAATTAATTGTTTTAGGACAGTGATGGCAATATGGAAACTATTTGGTTCAAGTTATTTTGTGTCATTGCTTTTGTTGGAAGACAGCTGAGTTGGGAACCACATTTGACCAACTTTGTCACTAATTGGTGAGAAGCTTCTTTTTAAACGTTTCCCATAAACCGTCAAATGTCGGTATCAGAGCAAAACCCCGAAAAGATGCAAAGTTCTTGTGTGATGTGAAGGATGAATTATTTATATTTTGAGAATGGAGCAGATGGCTAAAGCTACTTTTCCCACTTGGTTCGTCAGTAAAATATAGTATTAGTACCGAATAAAATTTTCAAAGCTTCAGATATCCGAAAATTATCTGGTCAATAGTTAATATCTTTTCGGTAGAGCGTTGCAACAACTATCCTCCACTAATGAGGCTTTATCAGATAACCTAAGGGGATTCGAAGTTTAACAGCATCTAACTTGAAAGCGTTTAAAAATATTTTAATAGTTACTTAGACCGGTTTGATAGAATATCTTGAGAGTTGTCTTTGCCCCATTGGGTTCCGCCAGAATATTCCAAAATCTAAAGCGACAGACGCTAAGTTTCAAAAAACTTTTGATGAACAGGTTCATACATATCTCCTTTTTTAAGGAATATAATAGGAATTAATTGATCCTCATGAATAACAATCAGCATCCGTAGGTCAAAAGAAAGCTACTGGCAGAAAATTCTAAGTGCCTGGCAAATGAAAGCGAAAGTATCAGTCCATGATGACAAACAATTGTTATTTTGTTTATCCATATTTTTCCTGCGTTGTTTACAAGAATACAATATGAGCTTAGTGCCTGAACAACCACCAGGGCAAACTGCAACTTCCTACCTGTTAGTAGAAGGTTTTACAGGTAAGCCAAGAGTCATCGGATAAATCATTAACTGAGCTTAAACATACTTGCGTATTCGACTTCTATATGCTATACATCGATGTAAAAATTGTTGAAAATTTACTTTGAAGATCCCACCTTGCCTCAGCCGATATCAGAGCCTAAGAGCAAAAAGCGGAAAGGGGATACAGAAATAATTCACATGACCAATCCACATATTTCGGTCCCCAAATTAGATTTGAAAGCTCTGCAAAGTAATTTCTTAATGTGTGTGAATTGTTGGGACTTGATTTCTGCCAGTGAAACTGTGCATAGAGGTAAGAATATTTCTTGTATTTTATGTGTGCAGGAGCTATGTAAAAGTTGATAATTTTCAGAATTTATCAAAATTTATTCCCATTTACAACTGGACTCCTGGCTGTCTTTATTCCTAATAGACTATGCATTATACAGGGCCAAATATGACGAAGCCATAACGTGTGTGCAAAAGCTAACAGACATTAATGTTTTACTGGTCAAGTACATTCGTCTAGCTAGTATTTTGTACATTAAAAAAAATTTCCGTGTATGTATATTTTTACCAGTTAGTCAGCATATTCAACTAACCAACGTCTATTTAGGCATGCTTAGAACCGATACTTCTTGCTCTCCCTCTAATGCCAACGAACAACCCAGGTTGTTTAAGCACGCACCTAATTGTGGGTGGAAATCAACGACATCTTCACTTTTTGCCTCTAACAAAAATGGCGATTTTACAGTATTTGGTAAAAGTGTTGTTAAGGTGCATTAAGGTAAGTAGCAATAAAAAAACTGTTGTTCCACAGATTTCTTACTTTTATATTTATATGTCTGATGTAATTCATGGTATACATAAACCTCATTTTTACTTAACGGTATTTTCATTGAGATATCTTAAATATAAAGAGATCCGAAGTCGGTTAAATTAGGGAAAAATTGCGCATTTTGATGCTGAACAAAATGGTTCTTTAAAAGTTTCTATTACTTCCAGAAATATTTGGGAAAATCCGAAATTCGCTTAAACGATTTTTTCTCATTTCATTTGAAGATATATTTTAAAATAATTGTCACACTATTAGAACACGTTTTAATTCTCTACAAGATTTTATTATCATAAGTAATTGATACCGAAGGAAAGATTCTTCTTTTAGTGGTATCGGAAGTAGTCTGAATTTTCGAACGTTTAAAACGCAATTCTGGTAAGCCTCAGAATGAGCCACTTTGCCCTACTTTAGCAGACTTCGTATCTTTTACTGTATATAAAAGGAAATTGATTTTAGAAAATGAATTGAGACGATTATTGAACCTATTTTTATCTGTAAAAACATATTTTAGGAAAATATGGGAAAACATGGCTATAGCGAACTTTCTATTGGTCATATATTTGTTCTGGTGCAGTTAGATTGGCCACAGGAGGAAGATTTTATTCCAATGCTTTTGGAGGAAATCAAGCAGCATCAAAGCTTTCAGTATCATCTTTTCCAGGTAGGCCAATCGCAAACTTATCAAACATTGTAGACATTATATTTATATATTTTTCATTTAAGAGTTACATTATTAATGTGGATATAATGGAAGAACTGACTTACTTATGGACACCCCAGGGAGGTCAAGTCAATTTGGAAATATTACCCAATTTGGGGTAAGTGTAATTAGACCTTAAAAAATGATGGAAATTGCTTTAAGTGCAAAGCTTTCATTAATTTAACCTGCATGTTTTTGAGTGAATATATTAACAGATTTATATTATATTTTTCAGGAGTCAAAGACGAATTGGGACAAGAGGAGCGGACAAAGGAGCAAAAGTCGAGTTGAAACAGGCGATTAAACGGCAAGTCGCACGCAGCAATGAAAAACTAGACGATTTGTTAATCAGCTTTTTACAAAGCGAACGAGCCCTAATCATGCAGGCGCTAGTATGATGGAGGCACGACATAACAATACTCCCTATGAGTCCCTGAGATCAGTTTGCAAACAGGCCGAAAAGACGAAAAACACGCAACGATTTAACAATTTTCCCAGTATTTTCTTATTCTGCAAAACCCGTTCAAATGCCAGCACAATATTACCCTCAGGATCGAAGCTTGGAGATTGTAGCGATTGACTGTTTTTCCCCACAGACCAACCTTCCTATTGACCCTAAAAGTGATCATATGGAAATTGTTTCCATTAATAGTCAAAACGGGGAACATTCCCATAGTTAAATCAGCAATTACTCATACAGGCGGGGGCGTGAAAATCTTTTTGTTTGGAAAGTGTCAAAAAAACATTGCGACTGTGCCGATTGTTCTTTTTTACTTCTTTATCTATGTACATAATATGAATCTTCTGTCGCATACACGATTTCTTTCGGAACATATGACGCAAAGAGTAATTGAAGAAAAATGGCACAAAGAGTAATTAAGTTAGATCCACTTCATTTTTCTTGTTCAGTTCTTCAGTTGAGTTAAAGCCCAGTTACACGGTCAAGCCGTTTGAACAAACTGGATCTGAACGAAAATCTGGCGTTTACACGTTCAGTTCGTTTTACTCAGATGTGACTTCACATCCCCCCAAAATTGTATTGTTGCCAACAAGATGGAACATTTGGGGGAATAATTAATTTTTGCAACGGCTGCAGTGTGTGTTATAAAGAAAAATATGAACTTGACAACTAAAAGAAAATAGTGTGCGGTCGCTATAATTTTTATTTTTGTCTTTCCTCAGAAGAGGAAACGACTTGTAGGAATCAATAAAGTCACACATTTACCAATTTTAAGAATTCTTTTTTTAATAAACTAAATGATTTTATATCATTTTTTATGACATTTTTCGTGTTTCATCAACATGTTTCTTTTGGACCCGCATTTTGAAACCTATTACCATAGTGGAACTGGAACGTTGTAACCTAAACAGAAAAGCAACCGTTTATCAATCACACTTCTAGCGTTTAAACGTAACGATTTGCTTAAACGATCGGGCTTGTGCAAATGGATTGAGCGTGTAAACGGCACTTTATACTCATACTCATCTTTATCTATGTACGGATATCAGTCTTTATCTATGTACGGAGTGGCAGCCGAAGGTCTGAACCAGAGTAATCCCTTGTCTCTGGTCTGAACCATGTGTCACTTTTTTATGCATGAACGTTTGAAGTACAGCATATGTTTTCAGGTACACTAGTGTTTACGATCCTTTTTAATTGCTTTGAAGCCATTATTAGTGTTAATCGTTGCTTAAGAGTATAATGTGTGAAACACGTGTTGCTATGAATATGAGGCTCAATTGTGATAAAAATGTAGAAAATGAAATAAAATAATAATTTTGTAGAAATAATTGTTTTGGGCAAACCCTAGATGCGTCTGCAATCCAGTAATTTGCTTCGGGTTTGTTGTTCTAATCCACGTTTTCAGCAAGTGAAAAAAGAGCGAATTCCGGTCGTATAAGTAGGTGTGGACTTTTAGAACCTACAGTAAACGGGACGCATAAATCGCTTCGATCTAAAACCTGCTAGAGCTGCGTACAGTGTTGCGCCTTTTTGGTCACGGTTTAAAACGATTCGACCGATATCTCCTGCTACTTATGCAGTCCGATTCGAAAGTGGCGCCAAAGGACACCCTACGTGCATGCTCCCCACTCCCACACCACACGAACCACCGCGGAAATCCCCGAGCACTGTAGTGTGTGGACATCTGCCATGACATCTATTTACCAATGCCCTTCTTAGATATTGACCTCTCTATTCAACTTACGGTTGCTAAAGTGAGATCGCCGCATAGCTGACATGGCAGATGTTCGGAAACCGCCGCCCACTTTCTGCTATCCTCATACAATTCGCGATCTTGTGACGTAACGCTGCCACGGATGATAGACGGCTGACAGGTGTCCTCGCCTACATTTGTTTCAGAAGACGCCCGAAGTGGGAGAAGGGACACATTATTGGACGCTAATTAAGTGGGCTTCGATTTGTACGTCCGACAACTCCTCGCGCCGTGGCGATGTTGCCGTTTCTTCCAAATGGGTAAAAAACGTTTGTTTTAGCTTCGAATTATTTAAATAATATGTACAAGGAAGTACAAATGTTACTATTGGTCCAGTGATCTATTTCCGCTTTTGATCAGGATTGTTGCTGACAGTCCGTGCGAATGCAAAAGTGTAAGGGAGATTAGGTTATAAGTTAGAAATGCTTAAAATTATAATGTCACTTAATTTTAGTTCGATGATTCGGCAATGCTGCAGGCTGGTCCAGTGGAGCCATCGAAGATAAAAGTGGCTTGGGATGCTGCGAAGACGTGGGAAACCGCGAGTTCTCGCGACCATCTTCCCTGATTTTATTAGGAGAGCAGCGCCGTTTATGTGGCACCGAGTTGAACGGTGACTACGTACGAATCGGAGGTGCAGCAGCGGTGTTGCCAAAGTTTAGTTTTGGACAAAGGTTACAGGCTAATGTGAACTGCTATTCGATATCCTTCAGGTTGGTTTGCTGGGGAGATTTTTCATTCATCATGAACGGATGAACGTAGGATCAAATGTCCTATAATAAAATAATTTTTTTTCTAATCAACATTTAGTTATTACAGTCATTCGATTTATGCTTGAATGCTTATTTTGAATTCAATGATTACTGCTAAGTTTAGGAATTTTCTACTATCATTTTCCCTTTAGAATATTTTACTAATTTTCTACTTGAATTAGTTGAGAAATTTGCAAGCTTCATAAAACTGATTTGGGTTTTTTATTTTCTAAAATTCACTTTTCTGCTTAAAGAATGTTTTTCGAAGATAATTTCGCATGATCTGCAGCGTACTGTAGACTTGAAATATATAGTTTAATCATTTTTGTATGCTTTTAACTGCGAATTTGCAAATTTACCTATTACCGTTTTTTACAAAATTTGATTTTTTACTGCAAACACATATTTTTTATGGTTTCATAATAAAAATGATTTACTAATTTTGCTGGAATTATCAAACCCATTTTCTGTGAATGAACCTAACAACTTTTAGTTAGTTTATGCTAATGCTTCATGTGCAGATTCTAATGAAATTTCATTTTGTTTCAAATGTTTCAATCTATTGATATGCTTCCATCTATTGATGTCCGTTTGGGAGCGATAACTACCACGGAGATGGAGGGAAGACAGTCAGAAGCCATTATCCGACCAGTAATTGCTTGTGTCCTATTTCGTAAATCTAAAGAAAATAAATTGTTTTTAAAAAGAGCTCTTGTCGGTGTCATTAGTTAATTCATGTTTTGTAGCGTACTGCAATGTATTATTTAATTATGTTTTCCAATGCTTAATATCCAAGAATCTGCAAAGTTATCTGCTTTATGGAAAATTTAATTTTTTTCTCAACTCCGTTTCTAGTTTCCTAATATCAAAAATAATGTATTCATTTTGCTAGAATTATTAAACCCGATTTCTGCGAAGTGAAACTGACAAGTTTGAGTTCAGGTAATGCTGCACAACAGTGCACCACCAACACAGACACCTAACAATTTTCTCCTCCCATCGACTGTCGCTCTTTCTGCTCTTCTGGTAGCCAGACACGTAATAATTCCGAGGATTTAGTTTTTAAACATTATCCCCCTTTATTTATTTATTCAGATTTTTAATTAATGCCCCTGAAAGATAAATAAATTGAATGAAGCCTTTCCTTAAATGAATTAATTCGTATTCTTAAGAAACAAATGATACAAATTATCTGAAGAAGTAAAAGATTTCATTTAACTAGATGGGAATGGAAAAAAAGAGCATGCAACTATGAAAATGCCCAATCAAATTAATGAAATGGCAAAACTGTGAAAGCAAGATAAAATTGCAGTAATACTCTCCCTATGTACACACAAATAAAATGACATTAAATAAAATAAACAAATCAATTTTGTTAAAACAAATATGGATGGATATATGCAAATTTAGAACAGTTTTGAGCAGGACATCAGAAAGCCTAAGCTACATCCGGCCTACAATGTTCCCTTTTGGCTTTTTGAATGTATGGCCCATATTTTTAATTCTGTCTCATGGAGGGCTTCCCATTATATTTTTAAATCAATATTTGAGAGCCGTTAAAAGTATCCTGTTTTATTCCACTCGCGTTCGGGCAAACAAAACAATTTATTCAACTAGCGAGTGAGTTATGATTAATGATTTCATTCATTATAAGCAAATGTATGTTATTAGTATTTCGTTCATACGTTTTGTTTTAAGTGTGGGTTTCATGTTTATGCGAGCGATAAAATTTGATAGCGTTGTAGTGATGGGAAATTTAAAAATTCGGAAAATTTCAGGGTTTTTAGGGAAAAAACTTTTCCTAACTGTATAGAGGATTATAGATAAAATTCACTACGTTGAAGTTCACGTGCTGGAACATTCTGCGATCCTGCTCCGTTATATAAAAATTTTCTCGAAAAAGCCTCAAAACTGAAAGCCCGGTTTGTGGAAACGAGCCAGTAATTTTAATAAAATAACTAATAAATATTCTTTTTTCAGTCCCCCAATACACAAAACCCACTCACTACATTCATGATCTGTGGTCCCCTATACAAAGACTGACTGTATGAATTGAATTTTATATGTTGTGCAACTGCGATAGCACGCGAGCTTCGGTAAAATAGCAAGAAGGATGGAAAATGAGGCAGGACTGGCTGCAGCACAGTTTCATGAAAGTAATCATTTTTGTTATAAAATCATTAAGGCTTAAGCCACTGAAATAAAGCAAAGCAAAGTGTCCTTCAAATAATTTGTTTATGATAATGGTTCTAAGTGAGTATTCATTCAAACTTATAAATCAGGCCGCAATAAAAAAAAGTTGGCCATAAAAACCACTACTTGAGAGGATTCAATACTAAATTTGAAATTGAATTAGTACTGCCCAATATTTCTTGTTCGATTTCTGGTTTTTGCTGGTTTACGTCGCGAGGAAGAATCAATCAAAAACTAAAGTCAATAAGCTGTGCTTAATTGATGTTAAGCTTCCGATTTTTATAACTAATCTTCTATCTTCAATAATTGTTTAAATTGGGTTGTTAATTACAACTATTTGACTGGAAGTACTTGATTATATTCGTGCTATTGTTAGAAAATAGACGTAAATAATCTACTGTTTATTGAGATTAATTCTATTCTGCAATTCTTTTGCTGCAGAAATTTCAGTTATTAACAATTGTGGTTCTCCAAAACCTGCACTGAAAAGATTATAGAATTTTAAACAATTTTCGATTCAGTTATTTCGGTTAAGATAATTTTCAACATTAAATAACAGAACGTATAAATGAAGGTTCAATCAGTTTTGCCACTTTTTGGTCCATTGAAAGATGCTTCTTTTATCATTTAATCAATATTGAAAAAAACGAACGAACATTTACAACAAATCTACAACTTTCGAATTTAATATTTTTTCCCAAATTGCAAATTAGATGTAAAAACGGCGTGGCCAAAGTTCAATCAATATTCGTTAACTCAAAATCAGAATAGGTCTAGAATTTTGCGTATAGTTCGAATGTGCAATAAGAAGTTCAATATTCCATTTAAAAACATGTAAGTTTGATCTGCTACTTGAATTTGAGACACCCTGTATCAATGGTATTACATTTAATTAAACTAGATGTTAATATATACAACTTTTTCATTTAATATTTTCCTCTAAATTTCAAATTAAATGTATAAACGGGGTGTCCAAAGTTCAATCAATAACCCTGTACAAGGTTCGAACGTGAAAACTACAAATGTAACAAAAAGTCGCAGAAGTGCATGGTTTTTTCACAAGTTATTTTATTGGTTTTTAATTTTATTTAGGCAACGTCTAATTTACCTATTTTTGAATCCACTTTTGATATCAACATGTTTATATCTGGGACATTGGCAAAAAAATCAAACCACGGAAAGCTCTAATGATTGTTTTATGGAAACAAACATTTATTTATACTCCGTTACAATTATTTCCAATTTCCCAAAAACAATCCGGAGTATGCGTCTTGTAACAATAATAAAACATTAAAAACATTTTATTTAAGTTTAGCTGTTTGCAGGAATGGATACGGTTCTGTACAAGAAGCGGATTATTCCGAATTACCAAATTCCAAGTTTAATTTAAGCGAGCTCGTCTGTGTTATTCGGAAAGTTCATTTCAATTGCTTTATCCTCACGAATGCTAACATTTTTACATTGTATCAAATACGAGTGCACTCCCTGGGAAAGTGCGGTAAAGGTTTTTTTACTTCATTGAGAGCTTTAAGGAACTTAGAAGCACTAAACATATATTAAAAAGCTTTACAATTGGCCACAAATGAGGAAAGCGGATAATACTAAATACGGAACTGTAGTAGTGCAAGAATCAGGAATCGAATTAAGAGAGCGCATAGTTCGAAACCTCCTGCTGCATGTTGGTCTCCTGATAAATGCGCTCGAGTTTTAGCAACCATGTGTAACCGTATTACGTCATACGTGAGGAGTCCTCCACATATGTGTGGGAGCCCCAGAGTAGTCGGTTTTACCTAGCATACAGACGCTATCAGAGATACATAAATTGGGTTTGGGTTGCTGGGGATGATCCTTTTTTCCGGTATTGTTTAGTAATTCAAGGTTCACGGGGGCAGAAAAAGTGATTTTTTCGAAAAAATTAAACATATTTTTCCCAACTCGATTCTAAAACGACTTCGGTCCACGATAGAAAGAACTCTCTTCTCTGAATTAGGAAACTTCATCAGCTACAAATAAATACGATACTTTGTAGTAAGTAGCACGCACGATTTGTGCACAAAGTCAGTGGTGTCCTCCTGCCTCTCTTAGCATATTAGGAGGAAATCCGGCCGGGCAGGTAATATAATTAATAATGGATAAGACATTTTAATTTAAATACCTTTGATCTTATGTTCTAGAACCAAATTGGTGCCAAGGAAACAGAAAATACCCCAAGCTTCGACTAGCAGAGTTAAGTTTATTCGGTCTCAGTTCAACTGATGGTCGCAGCTCCTTTCAGTTATGCTGTCCTGGTTCAAATGGAGTCGCTCTGTGCGCGAAAACTGACTCGCGCTCGGAGGCTTGCTTGCAAGTGACGGAAGAAGGAGTGAGTGTGGGTGGTGTGGGCTCTGCCTGCACAGCAACTCCTTTTTCAGGTGTGGGCCGCCCTGCTTCGTACGATACCGAATTAAATTAAATCCAAGATGATGGTATTTAATTTTGTAGTCATCCTACTTGAATGCAGTTCCACCATCCGGTTTTGTAGCCAGGTGGAGGAAACAAACCATTCAGGAAACTGTTCTTTCAACTATTTGTTAGACCAAAAATAATATGATATATAAAAATTATCGTGTATTTTGTGCTATTTCCCAGCAGACCGGTCTATTAAATTTCGGGGTTTCGTTCGTTTTACCAACTTTGTATTAATAGAAGGTTTATTTTCAAACCTTTATTGAGAGAAATCGAGACCTAACTAACTAATTCAAAGTGTTTTTAATTAGTGGCAAATATTATTTCAAAGTCAATTTTGAACGGGTTTTCACGTATTTTTTGTGTACAAACATTAAAACGTTAAAAAACGCAAAAATGGTCAAAATGAGAATATTTCGAAGCACTCTTAATAATTACTTTAGAACATTATATTTCTCTCAAGTACCTGTTTTAAATTTTTCTATGAAAATGATTAGCTGTTGTAGTTTATTGTTTAAAAGGGCATATCATTTTCAATTTATCTTTATAAACCAGTGTAGATACAATTAATTATAAATACCAGTCGTCTTAATATTATAAGAGTTAAAGAAGAAGTGAAATAAGAAATAAGAAGCTAAAGGGTGATTTATGGAAAAGAATAAAATTATTGTTAATCAATGTATAGAAAAGGTAATAAAAATATTAGAATGTAGTTTTTGAGATGGAGAAATTTTATTTCTGAAGGTTTGAAGGTGTATCGTATTTCTAATTAAAAAATTATAGATTGTTACATTGGTATTGATGTATGGATTGTTAGTACCTGTTTATTTCAAAATATAACCATTTTTTCATTAATTCTAATTTTATGTAGAGAGAGCGGGAAATGTATTTTACTTTAGAGATATTTATTTCACCTCACAGACATTTTTAGAAGTTTTACCATTAATTTTATTGATATGGATCTGATATTGATGTTTGATCGATCAGTGATTAATTTTAAGAGTTTTAGTATAATCCATTAATTTTTTTATCGAATTATTGATTCATCGTTTAAAAATTTTTCATTATCATATTTTTAATGACTACAACAATATTCTTTAGGGATACACTTGTTATAATTTCTTGTTTTATGGGAGTTTGTACCTTAATATTCTAAGGTCAAAGAAAGATTTATATAATACTAA